GGGACTGGATCTTTGGGATGAACCAGTCTTTGCCGTAATGTATTTTGGGGTTTAAAAGCCACTGGGACGTTATGTTTAGAAAATAAACGTCTCAGTTTCTCTGATACTCCCTCAACATATGGAATGACCACTGGTCTGGGTTCCTCCTTTTCACCTGATGGCTGACTGGAGTCCTGTTTGGGTTTCTTCTCTGCTTACAGGAAGGTCCAGTTAGGATATCCACATTGCTCTAGAGCTTGTCTTGTGTGGGATTTCGCCTTCTGCCTGGCTCCTGAGTTAGTGGGGGCGCTGTCTGCTCTGTGGTACAGAGTCCTGATGACTCAACAACCAACAAGAAGAATCTGTCCAGAGGACCTGACTTAACCTTGTTAGACTTATCTATATGGATTATTGAGCATGCATCAGGATACCTTTAGTCCTAAACATATTATTTAGTATTTTAGCATTATGATGACGATTCAACCTACTGCTACTACAAACATGTTGTTGAAGTAAATTTTATTTGCTTAGAATTATGAGCATTCACTGATTAACCACAATGTAAGAACTTCTGGTAAGTACCATCAATTATCTCATGCCACTGCTGGGAACTGTTGAGTGAATCCCATTTCACCCTGGGCTCATAACACTTAGACCTGACGCAAAATTTCAAAAGGTTTGCTTGTGATGGTGTAGACGGAGGTGAAGCAGTCAGGGCATCAGGCTCTACAAGCAGACATTTTTCAGGGACACACTTCAGACGGGTGTTAAACTGTTAAAATAATGCAAGAACGCACATTTTATGTACTTTTTCCCCCAATTAAAACCGTGCTCATCACTAAAAACATCTGGTGGCAAATGCTTACAGGGTTTCTCTTTTTCCAAAGCCTTCCTCAAAAATAGTCAAAGTCATCGTAGGCTACTGGAACTCAATTCCAATTCCAAACTCAGTTTAGTTTCCCCAAGTCAGAAAGAGCAAGGAATGTGAGAATATTGTATTAAATTAAGTTGTGACTGACTGGAGGCATCAACCAGAGCCGAACATTGCGAGTTCCCATGATCGTAACATTTCTTGACTGCAGCAGTTCTAAGGTCCAAAACACTTAGACAATGACAAAATGACTGGCGGTCTGGAGAGAAGCCCCACATTTGAGTATGGTTAACTATCGCAGCATGGTTACACAACATTCTTCCAACTGTTGGCAACATTCACACATGGCAACTACAGGAACTTCTCAGAACAATGTGAATATCGTGAAAACTTTTTTTTTTTTTTTTTGGCCAGTCATTTCAGACAGTGAGACTCGTATATTACAGAGTCAACACGGGACAGGTTTTACATCAGTAGCATTTTTGCTAGCATGTTTGTATTACGCCCCGCGCTACATCAATACAGACAGTTGTTGGGGGGTGGGGGGTCACATCAGTGTTTAGTGCTACAATGCTGCCAGTAATTGTCAATGTGTGTGTGTGTGTGTGTGTGTGTGTGGGGGGGGGGGGGGGGGG